CCGTCAGTATCTCCTGCAGCTCACTGATCCAGTAATGAGTGACCCGACAGTGAAGAATAAATATATTTATAACTAGTTTAGCTTGTTCCAGAGGTAGATAAAATAGCTAAGTGTGTTAGGTCTAACTCTTAATGTGTGTTCTGCTCCGCTCACCGGTCCGTCACAGCGGGTGGAGCTGCAGGATTTCTGCTTCACACACACGTTGCATACCGCTATTTTATTGTCTTTTTCGGACACTTAAAATACTGCCAGACTAGTGAAGCCATTTTGGCGAGCTTGTTTTGCCGCGCACAGAGAAAAGTGTCATGTATTTTACATGCAACGATAGCCTAATCTAAAATGCTCTACTACGGCGTACCTTTTTCACACTTTGCAGGAGGCTACTCGTGGGCTTCGCTTGACCCTCGTCTTAGCCATGGCTTGTATTTGTCTTCTGCTAGCCAACGCTCGTTGAAACGGCAACCTCCTGGCATACTGTCATCTATCACTCTCATCAGAATGCCCAGGTCACACACGTAACAAAATCACTTGCCGGTCACGCGCATTGCGCGGGAAGGCCGGAGCGGAGCTGTTTTATGTAAAAGCGAAGCAATTAAGCGCGCTCCGACTTCTTTCTTTTCTTTTAATCTAAAAAGCGAAGTAAAGCATTTACAATTTCAAGCACTTTATCCCAAATTCAAGCACCATTCCCAAAATTCAAGCACTTTTCAAACCTTGAAAACACCTCGTACAATTTCAAGCATTTTCAAGGATTTCCAGCACCCGTACGAACCCTGCATACAGTGCGACGAGTCGGTGGATGCGAGCGACACAGCCCAGCTGGCTGTGTTCATCCGGATGGTTTTTGAGGCGAAAGAGGAATTTCTTCACTGCTTCCACTCAAAACAACAACAAGAGGTGTGGACGTGTATAATTCTATTAAGAATTATTTCATAAATAAAAGGCGTGCAAATGGAGAAGCTTGTATCCATAACAACTGATGGAGCCCCGGCTATGAGAGGTTGCCACAACGGTTTTTATCAGATTTCCCACGTTTCCTGAGTTACCATTGCATCATTCACCAAGAAGCACTGTGTGCCAAAGTTATGGACTTCAATCACGTCATGAAACCTGTGGTAAAAATAATAAACTCTATCCGAGTGAAGGCAAAACAACACAGGAGCTTCAAAGTTTTTCTTGAGGAACTATCAGCTGAATATGGAGATCTCCTTCTCCATGCTGAGGTGAGGTGGTTGAGTAGAGGGAAAATCCTACAGCGCTTCCTCTCCTTGCTGAATGAGGTAAAGCTCTTCAGTAACTTTCGAGAGAGGAAAATGAAATATTTATTGGACTATATTGAGCTGATGGAGTTGGCATTTTCTTCAAGGAAAGGGACATTACTATTATTAGAAGAAGGGACATAATTCCAGGAAGGCTGCTTATGGTGGATTGTTTTTATAAAAATGAAAAATATCGACTTATTAATATTTATACTGCCCCTGACGCAACAAATAAGTTACAAATATTTAGAAAACTTAGAGAAATTTTAACAGTGGGTTATAAAATTATATTAGGTGGAGATTTTAATACAGTAACGGAAGATATAGATAGGTGTAGTACAGCTGTTTTTAAACTGAGGGCGGAAGGAAAACTGCTGAAAGAAATCTGCAGCGATGCAGGCCTCATCGATGTCTGTCGCTCACTTAACCTCCCAGGAATAGATTTTACGAGATACGATAAAACGACAAAAACCCGTATAGACAGGATGTATGTATCGAATCACTTCTCTGTTACAACCTATAAAACCATTTTTAGTGACTTTTCGGATCATCTTTTGGTCCAAACGTCGTTGTCCTCCGGAGCCCCTTCCACTAGAGGCTTCTGGAAGCTGAACACACAGTGCCTAAAAGATACTTGTGTTTCAACAGAATTAAAACTGGAAATACAAAAAAGTATACAATTGAGATGCTTAACAAACTCTGACATCAAATTATGGGAAACATTAAAAAGTTTTTTCAAATTTAAATGTAGGGAACTCAATAAAGCAAAAAATATTAAATATGAATCATTAATCAAACAATACATTCATTTAAAGCAGATGAAAGTTAAAACGGTAAAAGAAAATATATCTAAATTAAAAACTGAAATTGATCAATTAAACCAGGAATCATATAATATACATACATCTGAAATAGATCAAAGAGGCAACTTGGCTCAAGCCATTAAAACCAACCAAAAGAAAATCCAAAGTAAATTCATCAAATGTATAAAAAATCAAGAAGGTTGTATTGTGTATAATGAAAAACAGAAACGGGAAGTGATAAGAGATTTATGTTCTGAAGCATATAAAAAAATAGACATTGAAACGGACTGTGTTGAAATTCTGTTGGGAATAATCCCTCCGTACAACATCCAAGAATTTGATTTCCTTCTCGGTGAAATTAGAAAAGACGAGGTGATCCATGCGGTGAAAGAGCTGAATGTCGGTAAGAGCCCCGGTCCTGATGGCCTGCCCACTGACTTTTATCAATTATTATCTGATGATGTTTTAAACTTACTGACCTCTATGTTTAATGAAGGTCTCAGCAGTGGTTGTATGGGTGACTCATTTTATGAAGGTGTCTTGTCTCTACTATATAAAAAAAACGATGAAACTGATATAGATAATTACAGACATTTAACTATTATGAATCCTGATTATAAGATACTAGCAAAAATAATAATGAATAGACTAATAAATATATTAGATAAAATAATAGATAAAGAGCAAACATGTGCTATAAAAGGTCGCCTTATGTGGGACAACTTATCAATTAAAAAAGTAAAGCTCTTCATGGAAGAGAGAGGGGAGGACACCTCCATCTTACCTGATGCTGGTTGGGTACTTGACCTGGCCTCTTTGACTGATCTGACATGTTAATGTTAATGTTTTTCTGCTCTTGAGTCATGAATGTGATATGTGCACTGAAATCTATATAAAATAACATGAGTAGCTCTTGGCCACTTTCTTTTTTCAAATGTAGCTCCCGGTTATAAAAAGGTTGGAGACCCCTGCTCTAGAGGAAGCCATGAAGGGGATGCAAGTTGGTCTACTGATAGGCTACGAAGGTGAACGGGATGCCTTTCCTCAGCAGATCTTCAATGTGGCAGTTGTGGTCGAGGAGACAATTGTGCTCCACAACTTGAAAGATGTGGCTTGCAGCTTTGCGATGCTTCTTGGAATAATCTATTGCTTAAATCTTCAGTATCCTCTGGAAAGGAAATATTCATTCGAGTTTCTCCAGAGGGTGGTTATGAAGATACAGCCAGACCAAGCCTCTGCCAAAGTACATGGACTAAAAAATAAATTAGGTAGGAGGTAGATCATCAAAGTTGTAACTGACTTTCTAATGCTGTGTAGAAAGTGAGTTCAATTTGGTGTTGGAGGGAAGCGCAGTGGGTTCAAACCCCACTGCAGTCAGCATGTCGTTGTGTCCCTGAGACACTTCACCCCAAAGTGCTCCTGTGGGGATTGTCCACAGTATTGAGTATGTAAGTCGCTTTGGATAAAAGCGTCTAACAATTAACATCTAATGTAATGTTGTGCATTTGTATGTGTATCCAAAGCTCATTTTCAGATTATAATAAGTATTCTGTGCCTCGACAGTGACATGTTTAAAAACAACAACAAAGGTTTTAGGTTAGTGACAGTTTTAGAGTATATACCTTAACTGAAATGTTTTAAGTTCAAGTATAATCTTATCAATTGAGTTCTATTTAGTAGTAATTTTCAAGGGACACAAACATATTGTTTGTAAGTTAAAGAAACATTATATATTAAGTTTCTTTTAACTAATAATTTGTGTTAACACTGTACGTATAAAGATCAAGTATTGTTGACTTAAAAATGTTCATATCTTTTCAACTAGCTATTTTGTTAGCACAGTACATATGAAAATCAAATATATTTAACTTGAATATTTTTATTATCTCTAAATAAAAAACTTTTCGCTGTATAAAACGCGATATGAATTAAAAACGTCAATTGATTAGTACTCAAAACTGACTGAATGTAGAGTACTTAAAACATTTTTTGAAACCGATTACATAAATATTTTCAGATAACTGTAACTCAAAATCCCTAAGTTAACATTGAGTAAACATTCAAAAGCACTTTAACACTGACAATTTAAATGCAAATCACTGTTTTATTAAGTGACAATATAGAAAACTCAAAATATATATAGTATAGCAAATAACTCTTTTAAATAAAAAAAATACCTTAAAAACAGTGCTCGGGCCTTGAGAAATATCTGTGTGTATTTTAACCATCACTTATGAGTAGGGCTGTGCAATTAATCGTTTTTTTAATCGCAATTACGATTTTGGCCTGCCACAATTACAAAAACATAATCGAAAAAAACGATTATTTTGCTTTGCTAGGTTGTGACAGTGCACTGCAACATATTTGATCTAATTTATATATGTTTAGTAGCTTGTTGAAGTGCGCTCCAAAATATTTGTTGATTTTTTTTATTGGTATTTATTATTTTGATATTATTTATTTAAATGTAGATATAAATGTATAATTTATTTAATTTATTGGTTTTTCAGTTGAATTATACGTTCAGGGTAATCAACAGTTAAACAGATACTGTTCAAATTATTATTTGTATTTGTTTTAAAGTTCAATAAATGGACGTTTTCAAAGTCAAATAATCGTATTTAATAATCGTGATATCAATTATTGACCCAAATAATCGTGATTATGATTTTTGCCATAATCGCACAGCCCTACTTATGAGTGAACACAATTTTCAGGAACAGTTCTGCGTATTAATTTAACACATGGACCATAAAGACCCAATACATATAAAAGTATAAAACAACATCTACAAACAGTCCTTCAACTTGAAGCTGAACAGTAACAAATCTGTAACAAATCTGTCAATGCAATACAGAACACAGATGTAAAGCAGCAGGATGTAAACAGAGGAGAACAGTGTGTGTGTGATTGTTAAAGTGCAACTTTGTTGGGAGGATTACACTGCCAAAAGCTCATTTTTCAGGCTCGACACCCTGGGCTTCAAGTTCCCCTCATCAAGGCCCATCATCACTTTCTGGGTGAAGTCGAAAGTGTTGGCCAAGTCTTTTGGGTAGCTCAGATGCAGGGCAAAGGTCAGTGCAAAAAGCAGGATGAATGCGTCAGCCAGTGTGGGGAGTTCGATAACTCTGATCCTCTCTGGGCAGAAGAGCGTGGTATCTGTTGACCTGGCACTGATCATGAGAAGTCCGACCGCGATGTCCTCTATGTCTGGATCATCAGACTGCTCCACCTGATGACAAGAACAGATAAACGTTACCCATTACCCCAAATTGCCTTGGCTATCTCAGAAATCTGTTTTCTAAAAAATACATCAGTGACATATCACATCAAATAACCTAATGTTTTGTGCATAATGTGGCTTTAACCCTTTAACTGCCAGACCAAGAAAAAAGCTATGGAAAAATTATTTGTTTGCATTTTTTTTTATCAAATGGGCCACAAATTTCAAAAAAAATGTTTTGACTGACCCCACAGTTTTGTTTTTATGAGCCTCTACCAACTGGTCGAGCTGGCCTTTTATGGTAAAAGTGCATTTTCAAGAATCATCATATACAGTACAGTATTTGTACGCATCAAACTCAAATAAAACACAAACTGAAATACATTTGTTTCTTTTATGGAAAATGAGCAATATATACAACCAGATATATTCATAAAAGATAATACATTATAATTGTAAAAAAAAGAAAATGGAAAAAAGTAATGTAAAGTGTTTTTAATAATAAAAAAAAATACTTGCTCATCTTACTGTATATGCTGAATTGGCCTAACAAGAAACCACTGGCCTAACAGCAAATGTCTACATCCTGTGTTGGCCTAACTTGCTCATCTGTGTGCAACTTTGGGCTGAATGCCATGCATGAAAGGTGCTATATAAATTATTATCACTCTTTCACTCAGACTCATAAGGCAGTACTAGATTTAGTAATATTACCATGAATCTAGCTATTTATTTACCATATTTTATTGGAAAACATCTCTGAAACGCTGAAAAAGTAATATTGCTAGTTTACCATAAAAAGCCAATTCCACCGATTGGTTGAGCATATTTTCCAAAGAATAATTACACCCTTGTTAAAACTTTTTTTGTGCATCAAGTTATCTAAATATGTTCACTCAGTGCTCTGACACTAAAATGTGTCAAAATTGATATGGTTACCTTACAGAAGTTGACCAAAAATAGTGATTTCTTCAGCAGTGATTTTTAGCATTGCCAACTTTCTCAGTGGAAGCTAGCTGAAGGGCTTTCTATTCGAACCAGTGACATCTCGAGGTTGTTTTGTGCATAACACGTCAACCAGATGGAAGAGCTGGCTGAATCAGATGGAGTTCAACTTCTTTTTAACAAGATACAAAATGTGCTTAAAGGGTTAAGGAAACACCTATCAGCATTGCACAACATAATGTTACAGCCCCAGAAACTTCAGCCTCCAAAATAACCAATCAGTTAACATAAATGCTTTCTACAAAAAACCCATTTATAACCTTCATAAGGGTAGGATTTATTTTATCACTGTATTAGACTGTGTTACTATTAGCTAGTTGTACCTAATAAACTGGTAACTGAATATATATTTACAGTATAATCTCTCCCTACTACACATACAAAAATATGGGGAACACTAGATATTCTTTTGTATTGAACACTGATGCTGCAGGAAAGAAAGCCCTCTCTTAATTGTATATTTTATTAAATCACGTGAGCCCATTTTTAACACTGAAACCTAAAGAGCTTTCAAATAAATCCTAAAGTAGTTAAGTAAAGGGAGATTATATTCAACATATCCATTGTGTACCTTACAATAATTACAATTCGTATGGCAATATTCAAATCTTGGAACTAGAACCTGAATGGGATGTGAGCAACACAAGAGATAATGTTTGAGTAATATAACCTCAGTGACAGAATCAAGCTTTGATGACACCAGGACAGTTCATACTTTTTCAAACTAAATCTATCATTTATTATAATTTTTTCACTATAAAAATTCAAATAATTGTCTTCCTGCGATAGAGCTCCTGAAACAATGTAACAAGATAAACTATATTTTTTGATGATCTGTCACATACATTCAAAACAGTTATTATGCTGACTTACATGCCACAGCCTCAGAAACGTGGAGTCATCTTCATGCAGATATGCAGGCAGAGCACGGAGGACAGCAGCACGTCGGACATGGACGTCACCTTGCTCCTTGAGTGTGAGAACATATCTTTGTATTACTTTGGATGCTAAACAGTATAGCCACACAACAATTGATATCACAAGAAAGGGCTCTTCCATGACTGAAGAGATGACCATTTTGACAAAGATAATCCACTCTAGTATGAGAATAAAACACCAAGAGGCATAACCGACTCACCTGGAGGTCATAGGAGACGAATAGCTGATTCAGAACTTCAGCTACCTTCCCTTTGCTTGCCGCCTTCTTCCTGAACAGGCTCTGAAGACGGGGGGCATGTCTATCCAACTCCGCATAGAAGTGGTTCTTCAGGTTGAGGTTTGTTATCCTGTGAAACTCTGCACAAATCTGCCAAAATATAAAATGACTATTTAATTCACAGTACAATGTACATGTGGACTGAAGGCAGCAGAGATAAACACAAACATAACATGCTAAAACTGAGTAAACATGTCAAAGTTATCAGTGACAAAGGCACACAAAATAATTATATAGTGGTAATAAATACAATATTTTCACCTGTGACTCCATTTTCAAGGCAGGCCAGCGTTCCAGGATCTCTCCAACAGGTAGCTCATCATTGATGATCTCATTGCGCCGCAGGGCAAAGGTAGTCCGCATTAACTTTTCAATCAAGGGAAGGTTTTTATCACTCCTCGTAACTTCATCTACGATTTGGAGTCTCAATCGCTCAAGGCTTGTACCATCTTCACCCAGTGGGAAATTAGGCAAGAAATTCACCTCTGCCCTCTTTGGTCTTTTGATGTTAGAGTCAGATTGAAGAAGCCATATATCTGCCAGTTGCTTCAGTTTCCTAAAGAGAAAAAACATTGAAGGTTAGCTGGGTTGCAAAGTTTTCACAAAATGATCTGAGAAACACTATTTTCGAACCTAAAATGGCAACACAGTCTCACGGCATTTCGTGTTATAGTCACGAAATTAATCTATTGATTCGTGTTCACCAACACGATTTTGCCATTTTTTTTGTGTCACACAGAACGATTTTAAAAGTAATGTAAATAATAACAAATTAGAAGAAAAAAGACATTTAAAAAAAATACAGATTTAAGTATTCTGACACAGAACGATTTTAGAAGCAATGTATTTATATTGGTAGTATGTTTCGTGCCTGCACCAAATAATAACAAATTAGAAGGAAAAAAAGATGACATAAAATACAGATGTCAGTATTCTGAGGCTCTGAGCCATTTCTTTTCCTCACTGACGGCAACAAAACTCAGACATTATACAATTTAAAATAAAAGGGATAGGGTTAGGCTTAGGGTAAGATATTGAGTAAGAACATGTTTTTATGAACCACACAGCTTCCGGTCTTCCAAGACCCGACCGGACAAAAAGACGTGTTGCAGGCACGAAACATACTACCAATAGAAATACACTGCATTTAAAATCGTGTTGGTGAACACGAATCAATAGATTAAATTAATTTCGTGACTAATAACACGAAATGCCGTGAGACTGGGTTGAAAATGGCGGCAGGAGGCTCGCTTTTCTTCTTTTTTGTTACCGCATGCATGTCTGTGCATGTTTTATTAGCTTGGAGGCATAGAGGATTTACGTTAATTTTATCCACTAACGTTTTAACATAACCGTGCGTTCTTGGTCTCCGTGTTTGTAAAAGCAAGCTAACTTGAAACACTAGACTATTAATCTGTTAAACCGGGCAGCCACCGGTACCGAGGGCTTTTTGTTCACAAACTTTGTCTCAGGGCTTCTTAACATTTAAAAACCTATTAATGTGTCATACCCACTTAACGAAACTCACCTAACTGACGATACAACCATTTTTTACCGAAACAAAACACAAGTCTCACAAGAAGCGTCTAAATTAGCCCTGAGCGAAAAAGTTCCTAACTCACGGTAGAAATACTTTATTACTTATCAGATTAAAGCTGAGATTCCACAGATTCTAGAAGTATTAGTATCATCACTGTGCGATCATTACCTTTGCTAAGTTACATGTAATTGAAAACGCTGGGGGGTATAAATTACCTTGTAAAATGAATAGTCTAGTGTTTCAAGTTAGCTTGCTTTTACAAACATGCAGAACGCACGGTTATGGTACATTGTAGTGGATCAAATGAACGTAAATCCTCTATGCCTCTAAGTTAATAAAACACACGCCGCCTGCCGCCATTTTAGGTTCGATTTTTCCAGAGAACTTTTGCAACACAAACGTTCCACTTTGAGATATAACTTAAAACAATATAGAAATACTGTCTTACACGTAAGTTAAATCATTTTTCAAGTGAGGCAGATATTAAATGTAGGCTAGCTAACAAGAGCTCAAATCAAACTAACACACCATGCGACACAAAGTGCATTAGATGCAGAAATTAATAAAACATCATTTAAATACTGTGCAAAGGCAAGACGTAACTCACCAGAGTAGTGCGGCCAAAAAAAGGATCAAGATTCCGGCAGTGAGTGCAATCAGCAAAGTGGGGAAAGTATTCTTAAAAGTATGAGCGATTTCAACCGAGGCGAGGAGCTAATGGCGGACTCTGGTGAAGGCATGGTGAAGGCCGCGGCAAAGGTGCGTTCTGAACGACCCGACTCATCAAGACTTGAGAATGAGTGGAAATGTCAGGAAGAGACAATAAGTCTCGAAGAACAATAACATAGCAAATGTCTGGTCGCGGAAAAGGTGCAGGTGCTGGAAAATGCCCGTAACTATAGTTGACCGTTTTGAAGTTTCGTTCTGAACGACCCGTCCCAACAGACTCAAAATGACTAGAAGAGGAAAGGAAGGAGGTGAAAAAGGGTGAAAAAAATACAAAAACAACAAAATATATATACAAAAAAAAAAAAAAAAAAAAAAAAAGAATTTCTCTTCCTGGAAGCGTGCCATCTTTTGCTTCAAAATTTGGACAGTTTTGGGTTCGCCTGAACTTCACAGGCTCAGGAGAACCCCCTAGTCGTGAATATGTTGGAGAATCACTGTTATTTGACACCTGCTGGATCAACACAAATGATGTATATTCTTTCATAGCACTGCCAAACAGAAAGGAGTTTGAACTCTGCTTTTTGCTAGAAACTCCACTGAGACGTTTCCTTGACGTTCTCACAACTAAATCCTCAGATCCCAAGTGGAAAGACTGGACTTTCAAATCTTCCATTCAAATGGACATCTCAAACATCATTGTTAAATTCTGGACTGGCCGTATTCCAGACCATGATGTTGAGACCTATTTGAAGAGATATGGAAATATAATCAGCAAATACAAACCAGTAGATAAATTCGGGATATGGTATGGAGTGAGAAAATACAAAATTAAGATGAATCAAAACAGTGATGGTGAGATCCAAAATCTCCCAAATTCGATATCTCTCGGCCCCTATAATGGCAGAATAATTTATCCAGGGCAATCCGTCACCTGTTTCATCTGCAACTCAGCTGACCATCAGGTCAGAAAATGCACCACAGTGAAATGTTGGAGATGCAATGAACTGGGCCACAAGGCTAAAGATTGCGATTCAGACAGTCTCTGCAACCTGTGTGGAAAGATTGGACACAACTTCTTCAACTGCCCATCTTCTTATGTAAACAAGGCAAAAACCCAGCAGCAGCCTCGTCCTGCAGCCCAAAAGCAGCCTGGCCCTCCTTCAGTTACCCAGCATCAGCCTGGTCCTCCTTCAGTCACCCAGCAGCAGCCCCGCCCTGCAGCCCAGCAGCAGCCCGGTCCTGGTCCTTCAGCCCAGCAGCCCGGACCCGGTCCTCGTCCTGCAACCCAGCAGCAGCCCGGTCCCGGTCCTTCAGCCCATCAGCCCGGTCCCGGCCCTCGACCTGCAGCCCAGCAGCAGCCCGGTCCTGGTCCTTCAGCCCAGCAGCCCGGACCCGGTCCTCGACCTGCAACCCAGCAGCTGCCCGGTCCCGGTTTCTCAGCCCATCAGCCCGGTCCCGGCCCTCGACCTGCAGCCCAGCAGCAGCCTGGTCCTCGTCCTTCAGCCCAGCAGCCCGGTCCCGGTCCTGGTCCTTCAGCCCAGCAGCAGCCCGGTCCCGGTCCTAGACCTGCAACCCAGCAGCAGCCTGGTCCTCGTCCTTCAGCCCAGCAGCCCGGTCCCGGTCCTGGTCCTTCAGCCCAGCAGCAGCCTGGTCCCTGTCCTGACCCTTCAGTCCAGCAGCAGCCTGGTCCTGGTCCTCGTACTTCAGCCCAGCAGCCCGGTCCCGGTCCTTCAGCCCAGCATCAGCCTGGTCCTGGTCCTCGTCCTTCAGCCCAGCAGCAGCCTGGTCCTGGTCCTCGTCCTTCAGCCCAGCAGCAGCCTGGTCCTGGTCCTCGTCCTTCAGCCCAGCAACAGCCTGATCGTCGTCCTGCCAGCAAGGATGTCCCTCTCCCTGATGATCAACAGCCTTCATCTCCTGAAGACGACTCTCCGCCCCTGTCAGGTGAGGGCAGACTGACCATTGACAGTGATGTTGAGAGTGAGTGCAGCTCTGACAGTGAGATTGATGATGATAAATACTATGAGAGTGTTAGCGAAAGCCCAGGATCTGACTCTAGCCCTGACAGCCTTACAGCTGGTCAGCGAGTCAGCATGCCCCTCTACTCGCCCCCTGAGAGTCACTCGGGGTCTTTTTCTCCGACTCCGGATTATCCAGACCCCGCGAGTGAGGCTCAGAGGGAGGCCCCGTTTGAGGTCTCTAAAAAAAAGAGACCTGCAAGCAGAAACTTGAACGATTTAGAAAAACGGGCTAATTTAGAGATGTAGAGTGTAAAATGTGGCACGGAGGAGAATGTGTTGTCTCCGTCTGAGATGGCGGAGCTGATGAAGTTGGCATTTGTGGCTTGTGATGGATTGTTTTTGTGGAAATGAAAAATGTCTACTTGTTGGTATTTATACTGCCCCTGACGCAACAAGTGGGTTACAGGTATTTAGAAAACTTGGAGAGGTTTTAACGGTGGGTTATAGAATTGTATTGGGTGGAGATTTTAATGCAGTAACGGAAGACATAGATAAGAATGTGATATAGATAATTACAGATGTTTAACTATGAATACTGATTATAATAAAAATGAATAGATTAACAGATATACTAGATAAAATAATAGATAGAGCAAACATGTGCTGTAAAAGGTCGCCTCATGTGGGACAACTTATCAACGAACTAAAAAGAAAAACTCTGGACAAATGTTGAGTCTCTGACCGAACTCGCTGGAATATGGACGTGCTCTCTGTTTATGTTATTTATATATGTATGCATTGTGAGTTATGTGTATTATTAATGTAACTTGTGTATATCATGTACTGCCAAATAATTTAAAATAAAGTTTTATAAAAAAAAAAAAAGTGAAGGCATGGGTGAGAGAACGTCTACGCACGTCGGGGGCGGAGCACATACGTGATGACGTCAGACCAGCGTCAGACAGATTCAGTAAAAATGTTTGAGTACAATCACCAATATGACCCAAAGTGGTTGAACACTGTATACACAATATTAAAAATCAGTTCATAGTCATCAAAACATTAGCGGTGAATAAACTTTTTTAAATGTTTGAGTTAAAACAACCCATTTTCTTTCAGAAGCTTGTAATGTTCGGTCTTACAGTGGAATTCCCTTAATTTTGGAAGTGTGTCAAAAAGAAACTTGCACTATAAGAGGACATTTAATGTTCATATCAGTATGTAGTGTCTCTACTTTAAAGAGTCCTCTCCTGCTGATGTTCAGAAAGATCTTAACCTGTTAAGCCCTGAGCCTGTTTTTCAGGTCTCAGGCTCGAAAATGACCTTCCCAGAACAAATGACCATATCTTCCCTTCTAAAAGGGTTAAATTAATAAACCTGTGAGTTGGATGTATAAAAGTCAGAATCAATATAGATGTTTTTTATTTTAAAGAAAATTCAGATTGAATATAGTAAAAAACTGTAAATTAAAAATGATGGTGGACCTACCCCGTCTCAAATGGTCCACAGTATTGCTGTTGTTTTGGAAGAGACAATTGTACTCTCGGATCTACCAGACATCCCAACTGCATTTTTGGTCTACTCTATGCCCTGAACATTGAGTTTCCAAAAGAACACGAGTACACTTTTGAGACTGCACCAATTGCTCACAGCGGGTCAGGAGTTTGAAAACAAAGCTCTTAATCTAAGTGAGCATTGGCAAATTGTCCTAACGGATTTACAAGATATCCCCATTTAATTTTCCTGCCTTCACCGCTGTTTGTGACTTGAACATTGAGTTCCCAAAACCAAACTAACCCAACTAACCCAAATAACCCAAATTCTTTATCTTTACAGTTAAAATGTTATCTAGTGACATGAACATCTTGCAACATTTTCAAAGACATGTTCTCACTCTTAGGGCACAAGCACATTTTTTCTCTAACATTTTTGCACATTTTTCTTAAGCTGGCTTGCCTACTAGTTGTTGTAAGATTTCAAGGACTAGTTACTGCCACAATTGTCTTGCAGCTTTTTTAAAGATGGAGCTGTTTTTCTTGTATAAAGAGCCATATGAGCTTTTACTAAGTAGTGGAAGAGTTGGAAATGGTGTGATCCCTCACAGAGTTGTGTTGGGAGAAATCACTGGCTGTTTACATGCCTTTTGTCTTGCAAGATCTTTGGAAGGTTCTGTGATATGTACAAACTTTTAAAAAGATACGTTTTACAGATTGTTCCTTTTACAATATCGTCGTTGTTGTTGTTTGGTAACTGTTAGTGATGATGGTTTTATAACTTGGATAACTTTGCCATTTGTTATTCCATAGCTGCTATTGTTTTGACAGCAGGCTTATTCAAAGGGTCGTTTGCACATTTATGGATTTCATCCACATTTGTATTAACTTCAATTTGATTTCTTTCTCGGTGAGGACTAGGCTGCAGAAACACACATGAACACACATAAACACACACATATACACAATTAAACACACACAGTCATACGGGTTGATTTCAGTCGTTTAATTAACTGCAAATGGTGCGTTCAGGTGTCTTTTTTGCATTAAATGGCTTATCGATCAACAGTTAGAACTTATTTAATCAAAATGTTGCAGCTGATTTGTTGTTATTTACCTGTCCTTTATGAACTATGACTAAATGTGTGTATGATACGAATACCACCAGCTCTACACAGTATGATCATTAAAACCAAAGTTTTTAAAGTAACAAGAAGTCTGACTTCAATGTGTATTTGTTCTCAGAGCCAAACAATGAAACCCCCTGACATAAATCTTTCCTTCTGAGTTTAAACTGTCGTTATTGAATCATAACGTCAGATATTAAGGATTCACCTGAGGGCCGAGCTGTCGTTCAGAAGCCAGAGCGCTGAGTGAGATCTCAGGTTGCACCATGTGTCAGACAGGACGTGTTTTAACAGACAGGACATGTTTTACCAGCTATCAGATATCACATGGAGCTTTATCGCTGTCAGTGGCTGATAGCAGAGCTAAAAGGTGACACACTACACGTTGCGTCCATGGCATGTTTTATTTC